CTCCTTCACATCTGACAGCATGTGCTGCTCCTCCAAACAGAGAAGCTTGTAACCAGCTCGGTGCAAGACTCATTGCCCGGGGGGAATGGCTTTCTCAGAGGCATATCCTGTAAAATAGCTTATTATCTGAAATAGCAGATAATGCACCGGCTTTGTGAGGCAGGGATGAAATTGGAAGGAGTGTTAATGGCAGGTCAGCAGAGCCCGGAGTGGAAAGGAGGCTGCGGTTTGTAAAGAGTCCTGAGCACTGGAAGCCAGGTTTCTATTTGTTCCTGGCAAAGGGAAGAGCTTTACAGTACAGAGCACTCCTGGAATAGGCACGCTAGCTCTTGTGAAACTGCTGACTCCCTGCCCTGCTGTTTAACTTCTGCATTAAAAAGAAGAATAAACTTGCTGTTTGTTGCCGTTGTGTTGCGTCACAAGTGTTTTATTACACACGCGCCAGTGGAAGGTCAAACCAGGGCATTGGTTAATCAGTACCAAAGCATCAGAAAGCTTCCTGTTGTTGTTGTGGTTCATGGCAGCAGGCCTCCGTGGCTGTGGCTTTTGCCTTCACGGCAGAAGATAGGAGCGTGGACTTTGCTTCCTTGTGTGCAAGGAAGCAGTGCTAACTTAGTTCACAGCTCGGCAGTATCACAATACAAACATCACACGGTGCATTATCCTGGTCTCGCGCAGTAGCATGGCCAGCCCTAGGCTTCCCTTTTCCCCTCCAGAAGTGAGCTGGCAAGTAATCACAGCATGGCCTTCCATGGAATTAACCCTAACCCTAACCCTGGCCTAGTTATGTAGGTCAGTCCCCTACTAATTACAAGAGACCCTCTTCTGCCTCCTTCTAGTTTACATCCCATGCCACCATCCTAATCGCACTAGGCTTGCACTGGAGGGTAAGTCGGGGCAAGATGCCATGCCAGATCAAGCAGAACACCCTCTCCACCACGTGGCCCTTGATATACTGGTTTGTGGATCCTAGCCGAAACCTGGCCAATTCCTGGCAGCTAACTACGAGCCCTTTGCTGAGTGCTGTGAGCTACGACGTGTGCCACAGCAGCTGTGCTTTTTAGTCCATGCATTTTAAGACCTGAATGCAGTCACCCTATATATTACCACACTTAATCACCAGCGTCATGACTTTTCTCTTTCTGAAGATGGTTTCCTTGTACTGCTCCTTATGGTCAGGTTACTGGAACGTATTGCTGCAGAAATGGGAATTTATCCTTCACTTACAAGGGCCCAGTTGTTGTTCTGGATCGCAGGTGATTGATATTAGCCGTGTCGATAGGACTGATGACTCAAGAGAAGTCATGCTCCTGGTTTCCTTCTGTCTTCTGACGGGTCGCCTGCTCACCTGTGGACTGTTAGCCTGGATCAGTGGAGCTAGTCCAACAGAAGTGCATTGTGCACGAAGGGAAATGTTCCTCCATTCAGACCAAGAAGGTCTTATACTAAACAAAATCATGTTATACTTGGTGCCCATCACTTCTTACCTTGTGCCCGTGCCAACGCACTTTCTTTCCTAGGGAAACTTGGCTTTGCTGTCAATTGCTGTCCTGCAAATCAGAGAAGAGAAGGAAAGCTAAAATATGAACTGGCTTCCCACTGCCACGTCGGAGAAATCATGGGGACTATTAGCAGAGGTTATTGGAAAATCAAAGGGTTTGTGGGGGGAGATGGAGTGCAGCCAGCCTGGACAGAGATATTTACTACTCCGCCGGCAGCGTTATACACTCTCAAATGGCTTGTTCCTCAAAATTGAGCACTGGCTAATTTGCTTTCTTCTCTGTAACTGGGAACTCAAATCTCCTCACTGAATTAAGCCATATATACTTGCTGTGGGGCCTGGAGGAGCCTAGCATGAAGAGGAAAGCTCTCAGGGTATGCTATTTTCAGTACTTATAAGCAAAAGGATCTCATGTGAACAATGGAAATCCAGATCTTTTTTTTTTTCTTTTATAGAGGGAAAGAAAGTAGAGATTGGGGTCATGTACAGTGCGTTCTTGGCCCGAAAAACTCCCTACCAGCCCTGGCAGTCTGCAAGCAGCTCATTTGTGCAAGGAAAGCATACGGCTCCTCCTACTGAGCCACGTGACCCACAACACCATTTTCAGTAAAACTCTTTGGCCTGAAAAGCTTTTAAAGACTTCGCTTTGTGCTGGGAAATTGGCTCCTTCAGAGCTGGCAGGAAGACGAGAGGGATTTCCTTCCAAATTTATCCTTAGAAACACGAATGCCGTTCCTAACATTTCTGGTGCTCTTCCTACTCTAAGTAGGAGCCGATGTCTCTTACCTGTATCAGACAACGAAGCTAAGATCTGAGCTTTGCCCCCAGCCCCCAAATGGGCCAAATAGGACTGAAACCCACTCTCAGAGTGGGGCACTCTGTGCAAGGGAAAAGCACTCCGGGTAGCATGCTTTCCACTTGGACTAAGGCTGTCTCACTAGATGCCTTTGCTGTCTCAGGGAGGCGGGGGTTATCCAGTGGAGTTGTGCCAGCCGAAGCCCATTTTCAATACAGTTATCCAGGCCAACGGCACTGCTGCCGCTGCTGTTTGTGTTGCTATGGGGAGCTGGCGTGAGCTGCACTGGCAGGAGTGCAACTTGCTGGGTAAATGGTGTCCCTGCTGGGCACGCTTCACTGGGCTCAGTGTACTAGTGTCCACACTGCCAGCCAACCCTTTTATTAAGACATAGCCTAAGCAATGACCAGTCTCAGGCTGGAGGCCAGCTCCCACCGTTACCCAGGCCAGCATGCTCAGCTTGGGTGCCTGGAGCAGGGGCCCGGAAGGAGATCTGAGCATACAGATGTCTGCAGAGCTCCACCAAAACTATGTACTCAAGAGAATAAGTTTAAGTAAGTATGAGTAGCAATTTTACCTAGGTGTAAAAATTAAGTTTCAAAGGGTGCGTCTACATGAGAGGCTAACTGTGCAGTAGCCTAATAGCACTGCTCAGTAGCGTGCTGGGCAACACCTGTGTTAATACGCTACTGCGCAGTTAGTATCACAAAAACCCTGTGTGCTGGTGTTACTGCGCAGTAGTGTGAGTTACAGCGCATTGGTTATCCAAGTACTCAACTTAATGCGCAGTAACTACAGTGCATTAATGAACATGTAGACTGGATGGGCTATTCAGCAAGGAATGTGGTCCAAGTCTGAAGAGTGAAGCTTTTGAGGTGATTCTTATACTCAGTATTCTCAGATTTTTATATTTTTATATTTTTTATACCTGCTTTCCTGGCTTAGCTCAGTTTCCTGGTTCCAACTGCTGAAAACTCTAGACGTACTTAGTACGTTATTTTACCAGTAATATGCATATGACCTCTGTCTAACTGAGCTATTGAGAGTACCTTGCCTATTGCCAAGCCGAAATGCCTATTTTTAATCACCTGCGCAAACTCTATCTGCCCTAAACATAGATTTAGTTGGTATAAAACCACTACTTGACTTTAACCCTGAGCTGATGTCTCTTCACCTCTCTTTCTCTTGCCTTTTCAACTCTTCTCCCTTATGATGTTTTCTTGCCTGTTCATTTCCTTTGCCTCTTTTCTTAGCCAGACTCTGGCCAAACAGATGTCAGTAAAGGCTATAATACATGACCATTAAGCATCTTATGTCCTATTATAGCCATAAGAGTGGGGCAGTATGTGCAAACCTACACATGAAAGCCCTGCAATTCATTAACTGGCCCTCTGGTTACCTGGCAGCTACAGGATCTGGCCATACTGGCTCTTTAAGAAGCTGTGCATTCCCGAGCCAACACCTCTGCCATTCATCAGGATGCATCTTGAATACCAGAAAGTGAGTGACAAAAAAATGTATGCTCTGCTAATTCTTCGTGCTGTGAGTTGGTTTGGATGATAATGGCTTTTCAGTAACCTGGCATCCTGGGAGGGAGAGTGTGTGGGTGCAAACAAAATTACTTTTGAAATGTTTCCAAGTGAACATGCTTGAAAGTGCTTCAACAGGGGAAAGTCCCAGCTGGAGGAAACACACATCCGGGCTCTGTGGCAACTCCTAGCTGGTTGCAAAATTGCCATGGATGTCTGGCTCTCTGCTGCAGGGATTCTGGCTGCAGCCCCGCTTCCCTCTATCTCTCCTCTCTCCTTTTCATGGATGCAGAGGGATAGGAATTGGGGCCGAACAGTTCTGCATGCTACAGCCGCTCCCTGGCTCTGCAACCTCCAGCCCAAATCATCTCTGCCTCCCAGCTCCCCCTCTGACCCATGTCCACCCTGCTCCTCTTCCCTCTCACGTGAAGATCCTCCCGCACGCCCTGTGTGCGCACAAGAGGAGGTCTTGCAGGGAGTTTGACCAGAAGTGCTTTGAGAAGTACGGCAAAATATAGGGGTGTTTCACACTGAATAAAACTCCCAGTTCAGGGTGCGCGCAGGGAACCCCCAAACAGATGCATCGATGCCCTTTCCAAGGGATGGTTGCTGAGCATAGCTTCTCTGTCTCCAACCAAGGCCCCATCCTGGCATTGCTCCCAGCTTCCCTGCAATTGCAGGGGGCTTTCCAGGACAGGGGAAGAGCAGAAAGACAGCAGTCCAGCTTCTTTTGAATTTTGCAGCTCTGCCATGCCCCAGAAAACTGTGGCAACAGGAGCACAAGTCTGGGCAGCCCCGAGAGCTGCCCTGAGAGCACTGAATGGAGGCAGAAACTGCCCCACCTGGGTGCTCTGCCTTCTGCCTCAGCACCGGGTTTCTCACAAGGGGCTTCCCCAACCCTTACACCTGGAGGCAATCGCATATCAGATCAGTGTGGCCCAGACATATTGTCTCCGCTCCAGGTGAGCTCTCCCAGTCAGGGGAGGCATTACTCCTTCGACAGCCTAATAGCCCCCCAATAGCAATCCTGACTGCTGGGTTGCAAAGGAGCCAGGCTCAGGGTGAGGTCCAGGTAGGCTGGAAGATCCAGCATTGGCTGGATAGACTTTTATCTCATCCCTCAGCCCCTCAGGGCAGAAGCTACCTTCCAACCTGGCTCTCTGCCTCAGGCACAATGCCGGCTTTGTGCTGGTAGGAACGCAGGGTCTCCTCTCAAGTTGCCCCTGGGAGCCTTAGACAGCAGGGGGATTGTTGCATGTAAGGCTGGAAAGTTCTTTGCAAGCTTTCGGACACAAGCACAAGCACCCTCCCTCAGGCGTGGGGAGTCGCTGCTGTTCTAAGATAGCTAATGAAACCCAAAATGTTTTTAAGAGAGACTTGTGAAGCCTGAAGCCCCCACCCCTGGTGCCAGCCTCCCCTGCCCTTCAGCTCAGCCCTTAGTTTTTAATGTTCTTCAGCCAACCTCAGCTGAAACACTGATTCAGAGGTCATTTTTCCCCTCTCGCTGTTTGTCTGAGGCACCGTGCAGAGAAATCCATTTACCCCACATTTAGACTAATCTGACTAGCTGTATTATCACCAGGTAGCAATGACAGAAACAAAGAGTGCTTGGACAGCGCAAACACGGTGAATCAATGCAATGATAATCAGTATGCCTCCTGCTAAAATACACCCTGCTTGGCAAACTCGGTTCTCAATAATGGAGGCATTTGCTGGATATGCCCAGATGTCAGCGCCATCCCTCCACCCCATATCTCCTGTTCAACGTATAATAAAAACAGTGTCAGCTTCTGATCTCTGACACCACTTTTGCAAGAGGGGTGTGATGCTGTTTAAGTCTGGGCATGTACGCGGTATCAGGTACGCATGCATATTTATTGATAACCAAATCAAGGCGCACCTGCTCTGCATAACAGCAAGCAAAGGACTAAGTGTGAGTTTGTCTTTTGCCCAGGACTTACGATGGCAGGCAGCCCATGACAGCTATTGTGGACACAGCGATCATCAAAGCCATCCTGGTGAAAGACTCTCGTGGCCTCTTTACCAATCGCAGGGTAGGTGTCTGAGCTGTCCCATGAGATCTGAGAGAGTGCCCATGTACGAGAAAGGCAAAGTTTCTCCTAGTGCAGCCTCTGAACATACCATTGGCAGATGCACTCTGTGATCTCTGAGTGCCCTATGCCTCACTTTACCCGTCTACAAGGGAAGCTGCTGTATGGCAGCCCCAGTTTGAAAGTACTGTAGACTTGTGCATTCTTCAACCATGCTCAGCCTCTGCTTCTACATTTATAGCGGCTGAAAGACCAGTGTCCGCGATCCATTTTCAGGGTCACCAGATTGCTTGAAGTCCCAAGGGAGTGCCCTGTTTAACCGGGTGCCCTTACTGTATTCTTCCTATTTAGGACTTTGGTCTCAACGGTGTCCTGGGCTGTGCCATTACAAGAGCTAGAGATGAGCAGGGGAAGAGGATTTGCACTGCGGTCTTTCTGACATTCACCAGCAGGAGGCGAAAGTGGGTAAAACGAGTGGTTCCAGCCTTAAAAGACAGTGGGGCCTGTTTGCCAGGAGTGTGTCTATCGAGGCTCCCATTCATGCCTACTCTCCCGCCATGTGATGGCTTGCCACATTAGGTGATGGCGATCTCCCCCGTTCTCCTTCTCGGCGGGGCATTCGCGGCGGACAGTCAATTGAGTGATGGGTTTACACGCTGAGGCCTGGAAGCTCATTTCCCTGGAGCCCGTTGTTGATCTGAGTCATCTTCTTGCAGACCTGTCTTCAGAAAGAGCGATAGGACACTGGGCTGATCTGAAGCCCTGCACTGATGCTCCTCCCCGCTCCTCAAGGCAGACAGTTGTGGCTATTAGCTGATAATTAGCAGACAGCAATGCCAAAGCGCCTGGCAGTGTGTGCCCCTGCTTAATGGACGGGAAGGAGTCTGCAGCGCCTTCTGCTTCATTTTGCATTTCAGATATTACCCATCATTAATTGCTATGCAGAGACATTAATGAAAATGGTGCAGAAGAAAGTGGCTAATGAGGAGTCCATGGACATGAAGAAGCGAGTCCCCAGGGGCAGCAGGACTGTGCCCATTACGTGGGTGGGGAATGAGTCTCGGAGGTGTGTAAGCCAATTGTCTGGAGTAGTTTTGGCAGCCCTGGACACACCGCCAAGTTGCAGAGTTTGCAGTTCCACTCGGCAAAACCGTGATGTGGGCATGTTTTACATGCTTATGGCTGTTCAGAGGCTTCCACAACATGAGCCAGGCCCCCACACAGATACTACGTGTTGTCTGTAAGGTGTTCACTTCTCTCTCCCCTGCTCAGGCCAGGCCAGAATTTGACTAGGATGACTCTGGTTTTGTTCCCTGATGAGCTGTTGGGGGGATTTTTTTGGAAAGGGAGAAAATCAAGGCCATCCCAAAATCCCAACAAACCACAGACATGGATGCCACAGTTGGGGTCAACTCCCCAGTGCCTTGTAGAGATGAGAGGTGTTTCCTTGGCTGTGCTGGTGGAAATCAGTGCACAATTGTTGCCAGTCTGAATTGCAGTTCAGCTGTATCCATCCTACTGTGCAGTGTGATGGACTTGGAAAGTGTCACGATGTGGACTGAAGGGAGTTTAGATCTGGAAGGAACTGAGGAGATGGGACCTAAGCGGTGTAAGGAGTCACAACCAAGGAGTCAGGCGTTTGCAGGTAGTGAGTCCATTCACAGGGGAAAAGTCTCTCTGCCTGAGAGAGCTGCATAAATACCGTGCCAGTGAGCTCCTGCCAGGCCTGTTCTCCCCTCTCTCCTCAGCATCTTTGGAGCCTACATCGGGGTGGGCAAAATGCAGCCCGAGGGCTGGATGCAGCCTGCCAGGCCTTTCTTTCCAGCCCACAGGGCCCCTAAAAAATTTAGAAAATTAATATTTATCTGCCTGGCTGCCTGTCATATGGCCCTCGATGGCTTGCCAAAACTCAGTAAGCAGCCCTCCACCTGAAATAATTGCCCACCCCGTCACGTGCAAAATAATTGCAACCAGCACGTCACTCACTGTGAACATCGACTCCATGGACAATCCAAAGGATCCTTTTATAGCCCGAATCAAGAGGTTCCTCTAGTACAAATTCTTTAGCCTGTTGCTTGTGTTAGTAGATACGAGGCTCCCATACACCTAAGCTCTCAGCCCTTTAGCATGGTGCATTAGGGGCTGATCTACAGGGTGTTCTTGCTCAGGAGGTCCCTTCCAGCCCCTAATGTCTATGAAATCTATGAACACACAGGAATTGCATGTTGTTGGAGTTGTTATATCTTTCCAAAGGAAATAAGGTAGAACAAGTCTTATAAATTGCTGCCCCTGCTCTCAGTGTAATGCTTGTATATGTAGAAGTAACAGTCATTAATATTCAGAGAATCTAGTGAGAGACTCTGGTTCAGGGCCAATGGATTTTTGTCCTCTTTGTAAGCCGGGAATGCAGTCCATACTGGTGCTGAACCTGTCTGATCAGCTTTCACACCTCTGCCTCTATCTTTCTGTCTCTGGGACTGAGTAGATTTCTTGCAGCTCATGATTGACTCTCAGAGCCCAGATGACAGCTCCAAACCTAAAGAGGAGTAGCATTCATATCCATATAAGACTGTAGGTCCCTTCTCCTCCCAGCAGCTAGCTTCAGTGCCCTTTGCAAGATCTGGGAAAGGGGATGGATTAGTGTCAGGGTGAACAGAAACTGCCAGCTAATTCTGGGTCTTGTGGAACTGGGAGGTGTGGTCTGGATTTTCCCCAAAAGAAGAGAACGGGGAATTGGAACTGGATTTTTCCAGGGGCTGAACATCTGTATTCCTGGCTGGTGGCAGGAGAAGCAGAATCCTCTGCACTCGTGAAATACCAGGCTGGAAACGAGGTATGCGCATAAAGCAGCATAGCCCACCTAATGGGTAAATGCCTTGCAAATTCCTTTCAAGAGTTCGGGCAAAGGACTTGGGCCCCTAGCCAGGCATATGAGAGAGGCAAAGGACCCTCAGGAAAGGTTCATATGTGCTTCTTCGTTGTATTGTCAGACTGTAGAAAACAAGCTGTGCAAACCCACCTGGGCATATCCTGTATATACTTTACTTTGCCTCTCTTCCCTACCTGTTATTTCTTGTCTTAAACTGAAATGTTTTGACCGGGATGGTGTCTGCCTATGTGTCAATACAGTGTCTGGTACTGTGGGGTTACCCTCTGATGGCTTCTCTGGCACAATGGCCATGTAAGTGTTATCTCATTTATTATTACGTGGGAGAGCCGGCCACGTGCATAGCACTTTACAAGCCGAGTCGTGCCACTCATGACACCTAGAAGCCTACAGCTTGCTTTGCAGCATAAAGGATGTCTCGGGCATCTGCCCACCTGTAGGTATCTCTATTATGTTCTCATGCTTTACGCTCCACCGCAGAGCAGCAGTGTAGTTTCTTAGGCTTGCAGTTAACACATCCTCGAGACTGCTGTACTACAGCAGAGCCTCGCACTGGGCCTGGTTCTGTTCCCATGCACAGCGGGGTGACTTGGTTGATCTGAATGGTGTCGCTCCAGATTCACACCAGTGTCGGACCCACTCTTTGCCATCATGTTGGATATGTGTTGGATTCTGGGGGACGTTCTGCTGTTGAAATTACACAGCCAACACGGAAACTGCATTGAATTGAGGCCTGAACTCTCCTTTGATCTGGGCAGAGACCTGCAAAGGTCCTAGGACACTGTGCCTTGTTGGTGACCTACTGCAGTCTTCAGGTTTCCCCCTTTCTCTGTGGGTGTGCGCCTGTCTCCGGCCCTGAGTGACACTGAAGTTTTGGTACAGGCCTTCATCTTTGCTTTTGCTGGTTATGAGACCACCCTCAAATTCCTCTCCTCTAACTTGGCAACTCACCCTGCTGTGCAGCAGCAACTGCAGGAAGAGATCGATGCTGCTCTTCCCAACAAGGTAAGAAAGGAGGAGGTTTTTGGTATCTGTGTACCAGCAGGATTGCTTCGCTCACAGCTTCTGCTCCAACCCTGGGTAGGTTAAAGTGCAGCGTTTAAGGAAGTTGGGCTCAAAACTACTGCCTCTGGGTCACAACACACTGCAACATGCAGATCTATTTGAGGTAGCCACTGTCCCTATAGGCAGCAAGGTGAACCCTGAGAGAGCTTCCTCTGGACCTGAAAATCCATTCCCCTCTGCCATACTCTCCCAAGGCCATATCCACCTACAAGGCTGTCGTGCAGATGGAGTATCTTGATATGGTGGTGAATGAATCAATCAAACTCTTCCCCCCATCTGGGTGGCTGGAGACAGCCTGCAAGAAAACCATTGTGACAAATGGAGCGACCTTGCCAAAAGGGACTGTCACCATGATCCAAGCCTACATGCTGCATCATGATCCCAGCTCTGGCCAGAGCCCGAGGAGTTCAGGCCTGAGAGGTAAGGGCCAGGAAGGGGAAAGAAACACAGTTGCTGGCTTCATCCTGAAGCCTGTGAGTGGAAACAGCAACAATAGTGGGGAAAGTGTGATTACAACGTTTAAATGAGGCGTTTATCATCGTCTGACATCTCGTCCCAACATTACCGTGCAGGGAGTTTTATGATCTACATCCATAAACTGTGCATGGAATTTAATTAACTGTATTGAAGAAAATGACAGTGAGACCAGCTCCCAGCAGCTGAAACACTGGGGGGTTTATGGCTAGATATTAAAACAAGAGCCATTGGGTGATTGGCACGATGCCATGCAAATCATCAGCAGAAGGGCAAAGGCATGTAGGAAATAAAATTTAATTTTCCAATTCTAGTTAAGAAACAATCCCTGTTCAGATTTCGCTGTCAAGTAAGACCTGGAGAAATGAAGCCAGAGACTGAGATGGAGCAAAAGTTTAGGAGAAGATACGAAGAATTAGCATCTTTCTTCATTTCTCTCTTTGGATCCAGGTTCAGTAAAGAGAGCAGAGACACGGTGGACCCCTGCACCTTCCTGCCCTTTGGGGCTGGCCCCAGGAACTGTGTTGGATTGGGGTTTGATCTTCTCAGCCTGAAAGTGGCCTTGGTTGTCCACATGTAAAAAGTTGCCTTCAGACCCTGCCAAGACACCCAGGTGAGAGCCCACATTGATGGGTGGACCATTGATCTTACTGGCCCGGTCTTGTGGAGATAGTCCCGTGTGATCGTTTTCACTTCGGTCTCAGAATAATTAGGGCAGTGCCTTCTACACACAGAAAATCCCTTCTCCCAGTAAATCCACAGGCTTGTAGTCTCTGTAGCAATGAATCCTTTTGCAGGCTTGGTTTTTTCCTTCACCCTGATAGAAAGCTTTCCCTGCGGATTAGAGACATGTTGGAATAAATGGAGTTAAGTGCCTTATGTAATTGCAAATTGGCTCAACACATGTTCCTGCCACATTCTTTAAACCTTGTAGTAAATTAATTTAATATTGGTAAAAAGTGTGAGAACAATGTCTCTGGAGTCAGAAGTCTTCTGCTTATTCAGTGAACAGAGGCATTTTGGGCAGGGGCAGTGCAAACTTTCCCACACCTCCTTGCTGATCTGCCTGCCTCTGGGGTTAGAGCAGCTCCTCTCAAAAGGGGGTGAAGCTTTGATAATTCATTCAGTTCTGGTACTCTGGCAGAGGGCATGTTTTAGTGCAGGTGCACCTATCACCTAGGAAAATGCTTTAAGCTGCAAAACTCAATAGCACATAAGCGGTCATCAGAGGAGAGTAAATTTTTTTTAGGCATTGATACTCAAATCTGTGACCCCAGTGATTTGAACTGAGCAGAGGCATAGCTGGGTAACTTTGTGTCCTGGGCAGTGGCGGCTTATGGGACGGCGGCCAAGCCAACAGCGGTTGTGGTGATACCAGGCTGGTATCAGGTGGTACCAGGTGGTAGAGGCTGCTATTTTTGTGCCCCCCTCCTAAGTTGGAGCCTGGGGCTGGTTCCTTGCTCATCCCCTCTAGTTATGCTACTGGAACTGAGTAAGTGATTTGAGGACAGACAACCTCCATAGCTGGAGAAGTTATAGAAGAGGCACCATCTGTAAGACACCTCCTCCTCCTATCAGGATGTCTGGTCTTACGTGGGATCAGCTGCAGCTCTTCTTCCAGGGACCAGTGGAAGGCAGCATTGAGAGAGCTGGAAAATGGTACTGTTCGTGTTTGTCATAAAATAAACACGTTGGCTGAAATTGTGTGTCAAATAGTCCCTGTTGCAAGCTCTGTCTGTAGCAGCCTTGGAAGAAGTCAGTGGGAGGCATCTCTTTCCTTTCCTGTGTAGAGAGTTGCAAGTTAGAGATTCTAAATTTGCCTTCTGTGAATGCTCTACGACATTCATAGGTAGGCAAAGCTCTTTGAGTCAATGTGATATCGTTTGTTAGACCAACTGAGTAGTTGGCAAAAAGTTCTGAGCAAGCTTTTGGGCATAGTCAGCCTTCTTCAGGCATGGGGAGTCTTTGCTGGTTTTACCTGGGATCAGCTTCAGCAGAGACCAGCGGAGACTCCCTATGCCCAAAGAAAGGGGACTGAGCCTGAAAGCTTGCTAAGAACTGTTTTCCAATGACTCAGTTGGTCTAATAAACAATATCACATCTACTCGAAGAACCTTGCCCGCCTGCGTCCTTAGACCAACACAGCTACAACCAAAAACCCAGCTACGGCATCCATGTTACATGTGATGCATCTATGAGCATGCTTGTTCAAGAGTTGATTTTCTTGGGAGAATATGAACCTAGTTGCCAGGGACATGCTCAAAAGAGATTTGTTTTAAAAATCAAACAAACATTCACAGATTTTATTCCTTTACCAAGAAGTGCTGTGTTTTAATTTCTGCTGACCTGAGCTGCAACTCGGCTGCTAACCCTTCAATTCATCCCATTGCTCCTTTCTTGGTGTGTGCAGAAGTTACGTTTTTCACACAATGAGGCCCCTGAAAGTGCTCTGTAACCATAACACAAAAAACATTCACAGCTGCAAAGCACTTTTAAAATGGCTGATTGCATGAAAATTTAACCCTTGTCTGATACTATATCAGACCCTGCAAGGGTTCACATTGGGCAATTCCTTCTGCATGCCCTGCGGCTTTGCAGGGATCGGCTGGTGCTTGCCCAGGTGAGCGCTGGCTCTGCCCCACCCCTGGGGCTGTCACAGAGAGGAGACACAAAACCTCTCTCCTCCCTGCACCGCTGGGCTGGGGAGTGGGGGGAAGGGAGCCCCCTCACCTTGTGTGCACCACCCCAGCTACCCCTGTCAAGCTGCCATGTGAGCAACTCGACGGTGACAGAGACTGCCATGCCTGGAGCTGGGGGAGGAGGGAAACAGAGCCCCCTGCCCACCTTGTGGGCCCAGCCCAGTTCCCCCCAGGACCCCAGCAGGGATAGCTGGGTCAGGCCTGCGAGGCAGGGGGCTCTTCCCTCTCCCCCACCCCCCCGCTCCCCACTGCAGCTCCACATGCAGCAGTCTCTGCCACTGTCAAGAAGTTTTGATGGTGGGTGGGGGAAGGGAGCCCCTTTGCTGTGCGAGCCTGGCCTGGCTTTCCACAAGACCCCAGCAGGGATAATTGTGGAGGGCCACATGGCGGCGGGGGGTGGTGTCTGCCTCCCCCCCCCAATTCTTCAGCCAGTGCTGACAATTGTCAGCTAGTGGAGATGGGCAGGCTGGGGAGAGAGTTTCCTGGGAGGCTGCTGGAGCACCCCCCCGCTTGCTGATTTGGGCCAGTGCAGGCAAGATCTGAGTCCCAGGCCCCCCCCCCCCC